AGTACCTGTTTAAGAAGACATATTAATATCACTACACGTATTACACTTTCTTACCATAACATGTATATTAAGTGCTGTGTTTATGGACTGGACTGTGATATATATTGGTTGCTTTACCTGCCATGGTTCAGTATTAATTGTTTTTGCACAGCTGTAATTTGTAAAAAGGCCTTGGCCTTGTTTGCAATCAAGCAGTTTGTGTAGAGAATATGCAACAGCATATGCTGCCTTGTAGACATTATTGGATATTCTCAATTCAGATACACTGGTGTATTGATTGTCTAACTCTTTTAGATTTTCAAGCCCCGTACAAAGCTTTCCTCCTGTTGTCTCACTGTTATTTGTAAGTGAACAATTAAATACAGTTTCCCAAAACTCATTTAGGAGACCATTGCCAAGAACTTGAGATGGATGTGTATTTGTTAAAAATTCTCTTAATCCATCGATTTTGTTTTTAATGACAGCAAATCCAATGGATCCACTCAGAAGTTTATAACCTTCTGCTGTAGCAACATTACTGGCAGTAATCCAGGATTCACTTCCAATCCATTGGTGACCAGTTACATTCTGGTATGACAGCTCTTTGATCAAAACAGTCATTTCTCCTTCGCCTATAAAGGCTACAATAACCTTTGCAGTGCTCTTTTTTATAACGTCTACAACCTTTAGAATTTTTTCCCTAGGGTACATTTGGTGAATGACCTCTGAATATTCAAAGCAAATTCCTTCTTGTTGTGCAGCTTCCACAAACGTAGCCATCCCATAACTGCCATAGTCATTATCGCCACTAATGGCCCCAACCCAGGTCCATCCAAAGTGCTTCACAAGCTGAGCCAGGGCTCTGCTCTGATAATAGTCACTGGGGATGGTTCTGAAGAATGAAGGGAATCTCCTTCTATTGCTCAGACATGCACAGGTAGCAAAATGACTGATCTGTACGTAGTGAAAATAATAATAATCATAAAGTCATAAATCAGGATAATAAATTCCAAAGCTTTTTTTTACATATTGCAAACATTAACAGGGAATACAATCTAGCACTTATTAAACAAATGCAAGTAATACTGTTTATAATTACTCACCACAGGGATGTAAAAAGACCCAACAGTTGCTGAAACTGCAATGGTATTAGAAGATCTTGAATCTCCTATTATAGCTTGAACTGCAGCTGGTCTGGAGCAGGAGGTGTCAGAGAGAGTTTCCTCATTTCCATTCATCAGAGCCATGGCTGCTCTTATAGCAGAAGGTAAAGAGCAGGAATCATAGATTTTATAACCAAGGGAAATCCCAGGAAGAAGATCTGTTCTGTTATTTATTTCTTCGATGGCAAAGACCATTGTTTGTGCTGACTGAAATTCTCCCAAGTTTAAACTAAAAAGAATGCATTAGGAAATTAGCTGGTTTTGTTTGAAAAGAATTTTACAGTAAATGTTTCTTTCAAAACCAAATTAAGATGACAACAATACTTATTTTCTTCATGAAGCTGCATTACATTCCAGAAAAATTAAAACATTTAAAAACATGCAACTATCTTACAACTAGGTACTACAGCATGTACACATATTAAAGTGAGCCTGAAGTTGTGTTTAATATTAATTTAAAAACTATTTTGATTGTGAAAAAGAAACCTTTTGCATTCCAGAGGCTCTGGTGTGGATGTAAATGGGAAGACTTTTTCAGTAGAACGCCGATGGATTGCAAAAACACCTCCAATCATGATGTCTCTTTTGCTGAATAACTGTGGTGAAACTGGTCTTCCTTGAATTCTGCAAATAGGCTGCTCTGCTGAAGTCAAAAGACCAATGACCAAAGTCAACAGCTCTATTTTCAAAAGCATCCTGTAATGATTGAGAAAAGATCTTTGTGGTCTGAACTATAACTCCACGATGTGCTTTCTTTATGTTGTGTGGGACATCTCAGGGGTGGTTAGTTAAGCCTGAAGTTCAGACTGTTTTGCAGGAATTCTCTAAGGCTTGATTCGTGCATAGTTTGAAATCCCCTAAGTATAGTAAAGACAAAAGCAGTCATCTAATTTCTGATAAAAACATCTCGTTAATGAGCGCAGCTATTACAAAGCAATAAAAATTAAATCTGAATCAAAACTGAAAAAAATCTGCATGATGTTTTCATACAATGTTTTCATTGAGATCATAGAAATATTTCATGATTATTTTAGAAGTATTTATGTTTTGAAAACTGTAGCTTTAATCCTGTTTGCAAGAAAAAATATTTACATACTATAGTGGTTCCAGTCTTTTAGCAGCTAATCAATATTTTGCAGTATACTATTTACTATTTGTGAAAGTGCATACATTTATATCTCCCATAATGTTTTCCCACAGTTTCCCATTTATTAAGAATATTCTTTATGGTATGGTTAATCTGGTTTTACAGCATAAATTAATCAATGTATTAAAAAAACTTATTGACTTATTGTCAAGTTAAGGATATAAAAGTATCATACAAGTACCTGGGAGTACACATCGATGTTAGATGGTCTAAGAACACCGAAGCCATCTACAAGGTCAGAGCTGACTTTTCTTCTTGAGGAGGCTCAGGTCCTTCAATGTGTGTAGTAAGATTCTATATTGTTCTATTAGTCGGTTGTGGCAAACGCCATTTTCTACGCATATGTATGCTGGGGCTCTGGGATTAGAGCGGGGGATGCTAACAGGCTGAACAGGCTCATCAGAAGAGCAAGGTCTGTCATTGGGTCTGACCTGGACCCCCTGGAGGTAGTGTCTGAGAGGAGAATGGTGTCCAAACTAGAGGCCATCATGGACAACATCTCCCATCCCCTCTATGACAGGCTTGTGAGAATGAAGAGCACGTTCAGCAATAGGCCACGGTGCTACAGGAGGTCATTCTTGCCTTCTGCCATAAGACTGGACAACGCATCCACTGTGTGTTTGGGCAGAGGCAACATTGACATTGACCTGTTTCTGGACTGAACAGTAAACTCTCTGTTTACATCTGGCTTTTCCCACCTACAACAGTTTTTTGTGCAATATATGCCAGGGACTTGCGCAATACATTTATATTAATAATGTGCAATACAACTTTTTGTGTACTTTTCTGGTTTGTTCTTTGTATATTATGCTGTACGGTAAGAAGCAACTCTTCTTAGTGCACTTCTCACTGACTGTACTGACTATATTGTATGTACTGTATAGTATTGTTGTATTATTGTATAATTTCTTCAATGAGGAACCAGGAGTAAAGTCTGCGTCTGGCTTTTAAGGGGGAATGGAAATAGGGAACAGGTGCAGGTAATGGAAGAAAACAAGGAAGGGCTGGAGCACCCTTAAGAGGAGGGGTTTGCGATCATGACAGGATCTTTAAGCAAACGGAGCCGATAACATCGGAAGATCATCCGCCCTCTTCTGGTAATAAATCACTTACGCCTGAAGGTAGCAATGAAGCAGCGTGCTCAGTTCACTGTCCATTAAGGCATTGCCAAAGACAGATTAATGACCAGGTTAGGGGAATGTTTCAATAAAAATAATATTTCATTTTTCTTGTCAACATTTTTGCCCGTGCTTTCTGCTTTCTGCTTTAAATTGCCAGTGCTTTAGTATGCTTTATGTCACGTGACTTATTTTTTGTAAAAAGGACACCGGGTTGCAAGTAGCATGGTGGCGCAGGGATCAGCATTGCTGCCTTGCTCTTTCAGCACTGGGGCCTGGGTTCAGCTCGAGACCCGGGGTGCCGCCGGTTCGGAGTTTGTTATTCTCCCTGTGTTTGTCTGGGTTTCCTCTGGGTGCTCTTGTTTCCACCAACCACCCAAAACTATACTGTTAGATAAATTGGCTTTTGTGAAAAGTGGCTCTGGTGTGAGGGTGTGCGTGTCTGTGTTGTGTCTGTGTGTGCCCTGCAATGGACTGGCATCCCTTCCAGGGTGTACCCCACCTTGCACCTGAGATGAGAAAATGCATGGATGGTTTATCGGTATATTTTGGGCTGCATCAATATTTATTTTAGTATTGGATTAAAGTTTTTGAAACGATGTTAAAAATGCATGAAACGTAATGAAAAACATCTGGAGGAAAAGGTAGCATTTGTATATTACTTCTCAGGCTACAAAGACTGATTGCAAAAATTTGGAGCTAGAGGGAAAAGTCGAGGAAATAAGAGAGGGACAAGAAACATATATTGTATTCATACAGGGTACCATTTATTCTTTTTTTTTTTCAAAATACTTAGTGCTATGTTTTTGTGCATGGGCAAATTAAAATGTTAAAATGTCAATATTTGCAATGATTTATTATTTTTTATTAATAATTGCAATCAGAGGAATTCTATTTTCTGCAAATTTATCAAATAAAGGTCTCAACCTATAAAGCAGACAGAAATAAGACACTGCACTCTGATTTTATTTTTATCTTGGCAGCTTAAAGAGTACTTAAAATGTAAAGACATGTAATCCATACATATTGAAAATTACTTTTACTGAATATGAATTATTACTCTTTTAGATAGAAACTGAATGGATTTTATGCATATATTTATCTATTTCAGGCTTTAGTAAAATGATGCAACTTTTTGGTACAAATTTGCAAAATAGTAAAGCAAAATCTGATGCCAAATGCAAAATATTTTAAGAGACATTTTATAATTTACACAGGTGAACTGAAATATACCAGTACAATTGCTAGAGTGACCTAGAAGACATTTTACCTATTAGAAGTTTTTTGGTATTTCTTTCTGGTTTCAATAAAATAATGTAACATTTTGGTGTAAAAATACATAACAGCAGCCCGAAACTTGAAGCCAAAATAGCAAATATTTCCACAGCTACTGTATACTTTCCAGGAGTGCTGATGTACGCTGGGATAAAGGTGATCCAGACAGCACAGAATATGAGCATGCTGAATGTAATGAATTTGGCTTCATTGAAGTTATCAGGCAGCTTCCGAGCCAGGAAAGCGAGCACAAAGCACATGGCAGAGAGGAATCCTATATACCCTAACACAGCACAGAATGCACCTGCAGATCCCAGGTCACACTCCAGAATAATTCTGTCTGCATAGGATTTCATGTTCTTGTTTGGAAAAGGAGGTGCTGTTGTCAGCCAAATAACACAAATCAACACCTGTATGAGTGTAAAAGTAAAAACACTTAACCGCTGCTGTGTGGGGCCAAACCATTTCATAATGTTATTGCCTGGCAGTGTAGCCCTAAAGGCCATTAACACCACTATTGTTTTCCCCAGAACACAAGAGATGCACAGGACAAATGTGATCCCAAATGCTGTGTGGCGCAACATACAGGACCAGTCAGAGGGCTGGCCAATGAAAGTAAGTGAACAGAGGAAACACAGTGTCAATGAAAAGAGCAGAAGGAAACTCAGTTCAGAGTTATTGGCTTTGACAATGGGAGTGTCCTTATATTTAAAGAAAATCAGAGATATCCCTATGGTTAGGAAAGCTCCAAATAATGAAAAGGCCATGAGAAATATTCCCATGATTTCTCCATAGGACAGGAATTCTGTTATTTTTAAAGCACATTTATCCCGTTTGTCATTTGACCAATATTCCAAAGGGCATTGAATACAATCATTAGAATCTGCAAGAAAACAACAGAAATATTCAAAAATATAGAATATTAAAGCTTTTCCCATGTATTATTATTTATCTGTTGTAGTTTTAATTCATATGGATTTGCTTTTGATTTTATTCTTACATTCTTACAAATTCTTACATTAATTAAAAAAAACATTTTTGCTAGTCAAGTTGATTAGTTGTATATTCTGAATATGAAGGAAATGTAGAATTTTCTTTTGTGCATTCACTCCTGCTTACCTGTAATGTTGCTGATCTCTCCTTCAGCACACCGTATGCAGTCATAGCAACACACAGGCTTTCCTCTCTGAACTGCCTTTCGAGTGCCTGGGTGACAGCTCTCACTGCACACTGACTTGGGCTTCTAGATAGGGTAGGTGTAACAGATACAATATAACTTGTAGATATCAGGTATAATAAAGTCACTATTAACTATACAGTATACACACAAAGTCACTATTTACTGTATATAAACATGCAGTATGTGAGATAATATATTTTGTTCTAGGTAAGGGAAAAACAGATTTCAGTATGTATAAATAAGGTTACAAGATGCTACATTGGTACAGTACTATATACAGTACCATATAGCACTATATTTGTTAGCTGAACAGGTGAGCCTTTTACATGTAAATTTCCTAAGTCTTCAGGTTGATATTTTTTTCATGTTCAGTGGATTTAAGCTTGACCTCTCAAAGGTCACTCCTACTGCCTACTGAAAACATGTCACCTTCGTGTCTTACCTCCCATTCACCATTGGCCCAAACAATGTTGGCCTGATTCAGGACAAACCGACGGTGTGCTGGTAATGAAAAGTCATAATGACCAACAGTCACAAATTGCAAGGTGCTATTATTAACAACCTTCCAGTTCACCAATTCATATCTAGCAGCTGGGTCTCCATTGTCATCAAAAGAGACTTTTTCTCCTGATTTTGTGGTGAAGTTCACGCTTTTTAGGTACTGAACCACCTGTGTCAATAGATGTGTTGGGATTACTACTAGATATGACCACATATGTGACAAAAAAGTATTAGTATTGTTTTGAGATACGATCAACTTTACCTGCCATGGTTCAATATGAATTAATTTAGCACAGCTGCGATTAGAAGAAGGCTCCTGTCCCTTCTTGCATTGCAGCAGATTGCGTAGAGAGTGTGCAACAGCATACACTGCTTTATATACATTATTGGAGATTCTCAGTTCAGATTCATCATTGTATTGGTTGTTTAACTGTTTTAGATTTTCAGACCCTGTGCAAGGTTTTCTACTCATCTTATTGTCTTCATTTGTCATGGAACAATTAAAGGCGGTGTCCCAAAACTCTTTCAATAGAGCATTTCCTAGATTCTGGGATGGGTGGACATTCATTAAAAAATCTCTTAATCCATCTATTTTGGTATTCATGACAGCAAAGCCAATTGCTCCTCTCAGTACTCTGTGACCTTCAGCTGTGGCAAGGTTACTAGAGGTTATCCAAGCTTCGCTGCCTACCCACTGCAGGCTGGTAATATTTTCAAGGAACAGCTCTTTTAATAAAACAGCCATGTCTCCTTGAGAAATATAAGCGACAATAACCTTTGCTGTGCTCTTTCTTATTACTTTTGTGACCTTTAGAATTTTCTCTCTAGGATAATTTTGGTGAATGACTTCTGAATATTCAATACAGATCCCCTCCTGATAGGCAGCTTCCACAAATGTAGCCATCCCATTGTTGCCGTAATCATTGTCAGCTCTTATGGTCCCAACCCAGGTCCATCCAAAGTGCTTCACAAGCTGAGCCAGGGCTCTGCTCTGATGATAGTCACTGGGGATGGTCCTGAAGAATGAAGGAAATATTTTTCTATTGCTGAGGCATGCACACGTAGCAAAGTGACTTATCTGTGAATAATGAGAAAAATCAAAATGTTGCGCACATAAAAGACAAAAAATTTAATGGTAAATGTAAGGTATCAGAACACCGCACGTCAGACTTTTTTATGCATTGCATGAAATAGGAGTGAATTTAGTCAAACATTTTATCAATTGCTAGTAGTAGATTTCTCACCACAGGAATGGAAAAAGGTCCAACTGTTGCTGAAATTGCAATACTAAATGAAGATCTTGAATCTCCTATTATAGCTTGAACTGCAGCTGGTCTGGAGCAGGAGCTGTCAGAGAGAGTTTCGTCATTTCCATTCATCAGAGCCATGGCTGCTCTCAAAGCAGAAGGTAAGGAGCATGAATCGTAGATCCTATAGCCCAGGGAAATTCCAGGAAGAAGATCTGTTCTGTTGTTTATTTCTTCAATGGCAAAGATCATGGTCAGTGCTGACTGAAATTCCCCAAAGTTGAAACTAGAAATAATGTATGCAAAAAAATTGTCACTGTTCATATTACGCATGCTTGTACTAAGTCAACATTCTATCTTCACATTAAAAAACACCACAAAAAAATGCATTAAGAAAGGCATTTTTTAAATATGAGTTTTAAAACTGGTTTGAATGAGAAACATGAACAAACCTGTTGCATCCCTGATGCTCTGGTTTATCAGTAAATGGAAATGTTTGCTCCACTGTGCGCCTGTGAATTGCAAAGCTTCCACCAAGCATGATGTCTCTCTCACTGGCTATATCTGGAGCAACGCATCTTCCCTGAAGCCTGCAATTAAATTGGCCTGCCAATGCAAAAGGACCCAACACTATTGCAACAGCTGCTTGCAACAGCATTCTGAAAACGTTTATGGTACAGTAGCTCAGTGAATGCTCCTTTGCAGATACATGTTGTCTCTTATATCTTGCAGGAGGTCTCAGGGGTGGATAGATGAACATGAAGCAAAGTTCAGATGCTCCTTTGCAGGAATTCTCAAAGGTTTGATGTTTAAATCAGTTCTGGGATGACATGAGACAAAGGCAATTACCTCACATCTGATTATTTCATCTGTTTTATGACTGCAATAACTAAATTAAATCACTTGGGAAATAGACTGATAGGCCAGTCAGCACTAAAACAATTCTTAATTGTTTTTCTGCTTCAATCACTAAAAATGGTTTCTGTCTTGGGTTCTTCATAATATGGAAATTGCACCTTGTACTGTACAGGTACTGTATATCTTGTTTCTTTGCCCTGAAATTAATCATTTCCAATACATATGAAATCTACTGTATAGCATTTAAACCATGTACAGTATGGCATATTTATCTAGTGTTATTTCTAAAAAGATCAAAGTATGCACATTATGATTTTCTAACTTAGTTCTTACAATTGTTGCATATTCAATATTTTATTA